CTTTTGAAATTCTATGAAGAATCTTACTCCCCCATTAAAGTGATAGAAACAAAACAAATAGACAAACAACAAAATCACCCCGTTGTTGCTCCAACTGGCAGCTCTTATGTCATTTCTACTACTTCCTCTCTACTTGGGCAGAAGGTACTTGAAACACTTTCAGTGTCAGCTCTGTATCTTCTGAGGGGAGCCACACAGGTAATATTCTGGCAGCAGATGGGAAGAATCATGGATTCCTTTCATCTCAACCCTTTACCAAGTTGTCCTTTATAAAAGCCTTCGTGGAACTCGAGTATTCTAACCTCACAGTCGTTGTCTTTAATTAACTGACTGATGGCATGTGAAGAAATAGTGTTTCTACCTAAATAACATTAAAAAGTGGGACGCCAAGCTGTTTTGTTGCAATCATTTTTAAACCAGTATCATAGCTTCTCAGTAAATAGCAAGGAAAGGACAGGAGAGGAAAGGAAAGGTAGAAAACCTCAAAAAAGAATAAGGTCGGGGCGCCTGGGTGGCTCAGTCGGTTAAGCATCTGCCTTCGGCTCGGGTCATGATCCCAGGCTCCTGGGATCGAGCCCCGCATCGGGCTCCCTGCTCAGCGGAGAGCCTGCTTCTCCCTCTCCCTCTGCCTGCCACTCTGCCTACTTGTGCTATCTCTCTGTCAAATAAATAAATTAAAAAAAAAAAAATCTTAAAAAAAAAAAGAATAAGGTCTACTATGTTTTGGGTTTTAGTGATTAGTCTCTGAAATTGAAGGAAGCTTTTTGTTTGTTTGTGTGTTTGTTTGTACTTGGTTCTTCACTCATAAGGAAAACCATTCCTTTATAGTTATCTTCAATCAGAAAAAACAAAAAAACAAAAAACCTTCCTGCAAAGGACGCCATGTACTGTGCAGACAGCTCTCTCTTTCTAAAAGGTGCTCTGTATCTGATTTCTGGAAAAGCTAAAAATGATTAATAACAGTACAGTGTTTTCCTGGTGATTGTACACCTGAGGATAATGAAGTTCTGGCTGTTTGTTTGGTTTTTTTCTGCACATGAATTACCATATCTTAATGGGGCAATTATCTATTCCTTTAACTTCCCATTTTTAAATTATGATTGTAGCACCTTTGTTTCTCTATGTATAAAAGAAAATGAAAAATTCAGTCCATAATCCAGATGTTTTCAGTCATTTTATAGATAAGTTGCTGGGAAGATAAAACATCTGGGTAAATGACAACAATTTGTCTTTTATCCAGATTTATGAACCAAATGGATACAACCCCCCGTGTAAATTTAGCAAGATGAATTTTCTTTATGAAAGCACTTAATGTTTGCACTATGACAACCCAAAACAAGCACTTAATATTTTAGTCATGTTGAATGGTGGTCTTTATTGAAATGCTCCTACAAGGAGTTGGTCGGTTCTCAAATTTTCGACAGATTACCTCTCAATTTAGAATCTTAGATATTACATATCAAATATTAAAGAGTGTTGCTATTAAGGGGCCGAAAGAGAATGTTAATCACTAGATATCTGCAGTCACTAGTACAAATTTCACTTATGTAACGAAAACAACACGGTAATGAAATGGATTGACTGCATGCAGAGTACCTTCTTATAACTCAAGTTATAGGAATTTATCAATTTTTATTCATACATTTTAGTTACTTAACATATCCCTAATTAATTCCAAATCATACATCACCATTTTGAAACAGCTCATTTGTGCACATATATTAATGTAATCAGAGAGCAAATTCATAAATTATTCATTGTAGGGAAGACTCATAAAAGTGTACAATTATATAAAAAAATCAATTTCTAAGTCAATAAAAAGAAGAGATCTTGTTAGCAGGAAGGGAAGAATGAAGGGGGGGAAATCGGAGGGGGAGACAAACCATGACAGACTATGGACTCTGAGAAACAAACTGAAGGTTCTAGAGGGGAGGGGGGTGGGGCGATGGGTTAGCCTGGTGATGGGTATTAAGGAGGGCACATACTGAATGGAGCACTGGGTGTTACACGCAAGCAACGAATCATGGAGCACTACATCAAAAACTAATGATGTAATGTATGGTGATTAACATAACATTAAGAAAAAGAAAGAAAGAAATGTACCTAGACTGAATCGAGATGTACTATAAGTGCAAATCACACCAGATTTTGAAGACTTAGTACAATAATAAAGAATATAAAACAGCTTATTAATATTGTTTAATGTTGATTACATGTTGAAATGATCATGATGCTCACATTTGGCTATAAGTCATCAAATAAAATATATTATCTAAATAAAAAAAAAAAAAGAGAGAGATCTTGTAGAAAACCTGACATTTGAAATGAGAAGTATTCCTTTGGCCAACGTTTAACATTCCTTCAAATGTTACCAGGTTTTTACTGGCATACATCTTGTGGAAATGCACCCCCATCCATTTGGTATGTAAAACATTAGGAAATTCATGACTGTGCCAGAAATACTGAACTTTCCTTTCTTTTTCCTAAGAGTTAATAATAACCCACAAAGTGCCTGCCTTTCCCTCCCTCCCGACCCCGGGGTGATTCAACATTAATGTGATATCACCTTAAGAAAGGTGAATGGCTGCAAATATTAAACGTCAGTATCACTTTGCAGTTACCACAACCTACATCTTCGAAAATAATGATTTCCTCTAGACAACTGAATAAAAATTCTAACTAGATTTGTTATTACCTGACATCTGCATCACCTAGGATGAATTTCTTTTATAAAGTAGAAAACGACATCTCTAGCCGGCTACTGCCTACCTCTCTATGTGTAGGTATTTGTGTACATTAATTGGACACAATATCAAATTCTATAAAATCAGATGGGGGGTAGAAAGAATCAGTCGTGACTAGCAGAAATCTACTGTTTTCCACAGTATTGAGCAGCCATTCAAACCTGATTAAAGTGACAGCACCCTGGCATAATGTGGCTATTAATTTGCTCTGAACAATACATTAAAGAAAAACTGCAAATTCACATGAAACTCAGTACCAGCCAGGGACCTCAGATGCTTGTTTCTCAGGTGTCAGTAAGCTTTTTTGTAAGCCTGGATGCACAAACTACATACATCTGCACAGGCCATTATGTACAACAATATTAAGAAAAAGGAAGAGAATCATGATTTTATTTATTAATGCACTGTTTTCCCTTCAGTAGGCTGTGTCATAGTGACCTTTAATGGGGGAAAAACAAAACTCTTCTGCAAACACTTGTATAAGGTCACTGTGTGGGAAACAACCCCTCACTTCGACCAGGAAAAGAAAACCATCTTAAAAGTGACAAGATATTTTTCTCTCCCTGCCTAAGAGAATAACTGTTAGAACTTTCCTGGTGAATAGAGGATGCAGCAATTCTATAAATACTTTTCTTTTCAGAGGCAATAATTCTTCACTTGTTTTTATGTATGTCTACATATGGCACTGCTCTTTCTCTGAATTGTCTTATCTTTTTTATTTCCTAAATAATTACAAATCTGAATTTGGATAAGAAATTTCTCCCTTGGCAAATAAAACTAGAGAGAATAGAAACTCTTTCTGATTTGGCTTTTATTTAAAGGAAACTGTATTCCACTCTGATCACTCATTTTATATTTTATGTTACAATGGGTATGGAAAACGTGTTTTTCCAAAGGACAATATGCAAAAAGATAATGTCAAAAGGATAATTTATCAGCATCAAAGAATTCTAAAATACTGAACACTGAACTTCAGTTTTAGTCACTCACTTGATCTTCTAAGACTTTAATTATTTTTAAAATCAGGCTTATTTTTTGCAAAGAAACTTTATTATTTTTTTATTCAAATTTGATACTCTGCCCCAGTTACTCAGAAGATGAAAATTCTGAAAACATTAAGAAGGTTGAACCAAGTGGAATTGAACTAAAATATGTACAGAGGAAAGCCACAAGGTTCTCATAGTTCTCAGTTACTTTCAGTGGGTCAAATGGAAAACCGAACAAAATCTCTACACTTCGTGACAGGGAAAACAGGTTCCAGATAATCTACTGACTTTCACAAATGTACATAACTGTGCCTCAAAAGAAGCAGCAGAGGTTTGTTTTTTTTTTTTTAATTTGTACCAAATTTTATTTAATTTCCACTTAATATGAGAATTATTTCCCAAGGATCACTTAGTGGGAGGAAAATAGAGAATAAACAAAATAAGTAAATAAATAAGTTATGTATATAATGATAAATGTTTTGGAAAAAGATACACTTCTTTGTCTTCCATGCTAGGTAGAAGAGATTTGATTTTATGGAACATAAGAAGGGAGCCAGAGAACCACAGAAAATCTTAGTAGAGAAACAGTGCTTTAAAGAAGGTGCTCTGGGACCAGTGTGCAGGGTGTACAGGAGAGCAGAGGTGGCTGATAAGGAGAATCTAAATCAGGGCACATAACAATGCAGCTGCCACAGCTCAAAGGCAGTGGGAGTACTGAGGTGGTTCGAATCCAACAGATACTTCCAAGGAATATCTGAGATTTAGTGACTTACTGGATATATGCAAAGCAAAGAGGAGCAGAAGCAGAAGAGGTCTTCAGTACTTTACACTAGGGACCGAGAGGATGGCGTCATCAATGTCATTTGCAGAGATATTTTTAACAAAAGGAATGCCAGGGGCGCCTGGGTGGCTCAGTCGGTTAAGTGCCTGCCTTTGGCTTGGGTCATGATCGCAGAGGTCCTGGGATCCAGTCTCCCGTCAGGCTCCCTGCTGAGTGGGGAGTCTGCTTCTCCCTCTGCCTCTCCCTCCCCCTGCTCATGCTCTCTCTCTGTCTCATAAATAAATAAATAAATAAATAAATAAATAAATAAATAAGTAAGTAAGTAAGTCTTGGGGGGGGGAGAAGGAATACCAAAGAATAGCTTATTTCTACTGAAACGACCTAAGTCCTGAGTTTGTGCCTGGTGGTCATAGTTCAGAATTTCCTCCAGTCCTTGCAGTGTTTTTGAACACTTCTGTAATATTTATGTACATTCTTGGAAATGCTCACCAGTTTGCCACCAGTGGTCTAAGACAGGTACTCTGAAGACCTTTTTGGACCATTCCAGGGTCTCCACATCACATCGTTCTCCAGCCACAAATAATGTTTTGAACCTGAATATAAGAGGGAGAGTGAATTCAAATTATTCCTTGAAAATAAATATAAATAATGTCAGACTCATTCTGTCAAACATTCTAGAATCTGACCACGTTAATTCTGTCAAAGGAAAACAGCTATATTATCATAGTATCATACTACAGAATGGTGAGAAGTGTTATTTGTGTTGACCCAAAGGTAACCAAGTGCACATCACAGCACTGAAGAGAGGTGCCTCAAAAGAATTCACAGCTACAGCTTCTGAGTTTTGAGAAGAGCAACTGAGTTGATCTTTGTAATACATCTGTCATATTCATCTAATGTTCAAAGATGAAAAACCTTTTCCTCCGTGACATTATCTCTGCTAATTTTAGCTCCACATTTGATTGCTATATTCTACTTAAGTCTATATACAAAAATATAACCTTGAGTATCAGCTAAAGCAACAAATAAGCTCATAAATATGATGTTCTTGTGATTTTGGTGAATTTCTTTGGTAAAGATTACTCTGATTTCAAGCACATATTTACCCAAGTCCAAGGACATACAGAGGAAAAATAGGTTACTTAAAAGTAAATACCACAGCGGCCTTCTAGGTCAAAAGACTCTTATCAAAAGGAATATAAGGTTACTAAGAGATGAATATTTGACATGGAGCACCATGCCATAGAACAGAAAGGATGAAACAGACAAATGGATTGGATTGACACTGTTGGTGGTTCATTGAGAGAATGATTGTTTTCTTCCATTCCCAATGTCTCCATGGTCTGTCTGTCAAAAAAGGAATGCATGTTTGAAGAGTTAATTCATTGTCATCAAAGTAAAAAACAAATAAATAAAAACCTGCCTACTTATCCTAAACAATGTAATATAGCCACAGAAGAGTTCTTACCATTCTCTTATCATCTCATGAAAATTCATGGAGATTCAGACATTCCTACCCTTATAGTATACATCTCCATCCTCTGCTATAAACATACATCTCATTCTATACTTATTTGTTTCTTGTCCATTTTAAACAGTGGACCATGAGCTCCTTAAGAGCATTCATCTTCCTGACCCGAACACCAATAAAAATACCTGGGATTTTTAGATACTTATTTCTAGAGGCTTAGAAAGATGAAGTACACAGGTGGGGAGTTGGCAAAACTTATGTCAGCTTGACTCATTCTTCTAACTAAAGGAGGAAGCATGTTGTTTTATTAGAGTGTGGAAATAGACAACGGAACAGTGACTTGAAGAGAGAAAAGTTCTGACTATTTTAGGAAATTTTTAATGAATAATGTAAAAGGGAAAGAATTGAAAAGCAGCCACTTGGCTTTCATAGACTCAATTAATAGCCTAGGAGGCCGAGTAGAGATAACACAAACTGGGTGTAGTACAAAAATAAGGAATGGCAAATCATGCCAAAAGTTCTGTCTGGGGAATCTAGAGTAGGCAGGAGAAATCGGGCAGCGAAGTAGGAATGACCATGATGGAGGAAAATACCAGGAAAAATAATGTGAAGGCAGAGAAATATAATTTCAAACTTCAGAAAAGAACCCTTTACTAGTCTTTGTTAAGAAATGATTTTAAAAATGTGGCTCAATCATTTTGGTGAGTCACCTCTCAAAGTATGCAAGGCTTCTAGGGTAATATTTAAATCTTTAAGAGCACTCAAGGGAAACAGAGAAAAAGGATGAAAATGGAAAAACCAAAAGAGAAAAATAAGAGAGACTAGAAAAGAATGCATCAGATTTTTTTTGAAAAAAATATATGTATAGTTGCAATTTGAGATAAAATTTAGGTAATCAAATGTGTATTCATTTATAACTTGCTTCAGATTAAAATGGGGGGCACCTGGGTGGCTCATCCAGTTAAGTGTCCGAATCTTGATTTTGGCTCAGGTCATGATCTCAGGGTCGTTGGCTTGAGACCCCTTGGCTTAGCACAGAGTCTGCTTGGGACTCTTTCCCTTTCCCTCTGCCCCTCCCCCCATTCATGGGCTCTCTCTCTCTCTCTCTAAAATAAATAAATAAATCTTTTTAAAAAATTAAAATTAAGGGACACCTGGGTGGCTCAGTTGTTGGGCGTCTGCCTTCGGCTCAGGTCATGATCCCAGGGTCCTGGGATTGAGCCCTGCATCAGGTTCCTTGCTCAGTGGGAAGCCTGCTTCTCCCTCTCCCACTCCCCCTGCTTGTGTTCCTGCTCTTACTATCTCTCTCTCTCTGTCAAATAAATAAATAAATAAAATCTTTAAAACAAAAATTAAAATTAAAAAAGATTAAAATGTGGTTACCAAATATGACCTCATCTGACAAAACTGATATATCACAATGAAACAAATATTAATACATTAAATTATTAAAACTAGATTAAAACATAAAGCTTAGTGTAAAGTTTTAAAGTTTAAAATGAGGTCAATACATCTGTGATTTTAGATGCTATGTAAAAATAAGACAAAAAATTTTTTTTAAAGATTTATCCATTTATTTGAGAGTGAGAGAGAGAGAGAGAGATCACAAGCAGGGGGGAAGGGCAAAGGAAGAAGCAGACTCCCTGCTGAGCAGAGAGCCCAACGTGGGGCTTGATCCCAGGACCCTGAGATCATAACCTGAGCCGAAAGCAGACGCTTAACCGACTGAGCCACCCCGGCACCCCAACAAGACAAAATTTTAAATATAAAAGCCATATTATTGATAATCTTATGGCTGAAAAATGTTAATTTATTTTAATTATATCTTCTTTAAACAGTTAGATTCCTAATATATTAGAAAACTTCGGTGATTACGAACATTATACAAGTAAATAATTTGTATTAAAATTTTTTTTAAGCAATTACAGTTCTTTTTTTTTTTTAAGATTTTATTTATTTATCTGAGACAGAGAGAATGAGAGACAGAGAGCACATGAGAGGGGGGAGGGCCAGAGGGAGAAGCAGGCTCCCTGCTCAGCAGGGAGCCTGATGCGGGACTCGATCCCGGGGCCTCCAGGATCATGAGCTGGAGGCAGTCCAGCTTAACCAACTGAGCCACCCAGGCGCCCTGTATTAAAATTTATAAATAGGTTTGGGTGATTCCAACAGCGTAGGCAAAGAACAAGGAAGTTTTATAGATATCAGAGATCACATTTCCATCGTCTATCAAACCACAGATTATTCCAAAGAACTTTAGATGGTCCAGGTGGTCATGTGTTTAGTTTACATATGAAACTGCAGATCTACAGTTATATATATTTTTGAAAACACGGTGTAAAATATTGTCAACTAAAAATATGAGCACATAACACAAAATGATTTTTGGCTAATCAAAGAACAATAAATATCTTGATATTACCAGAAGTTTTGCAAGTTTCAATTAATTTTTTGGCTTCTTTTCCCAGTCAAGTAAATTACAATTAATCTAATAAATTGGTTATAATGATAAACTATTAATTAGCATTGAGTTTTTATCTGATGACAAATTTCCACATTATATGTTTTAAAACTTAGTATTTGTTATTATGGTTTGAGTACAAATCTATCACTTATTTTTCTTAGATTTTAATTGCATTTGTATTATTATGATTGCAATGTCCATGCTGGCACTAATTAGCAATATAGAAAGAGATAATATTCCACGATGCATAGTAAAAGTGATATCTGATTTTTCTGCATGTCAGATAATCTCCTTCATTTCCATTAAAATCACTTACTCTTTACTAAAAGCAGAGGAAAAAATGTGAGCTCATTGGTGATATAGAAAAATGTCAAAGTAGTATAGATAATTCCTTTCTCTAAATACACTAGAAACTACCAATCTATTTTTTTATTAAAATTCCTTAAACTGCCCCAAAGTTACTATTTTATCAATTATAGACTCCCAAATGTGTAACATTAATGAACATTAACATACTGTATACAAGGATTTAAGAATAGAATATGACTAATGAAAAAGTTAAGTCTTGTAATAAATACATAATCAAATATTATTTGACTCCCAATTCCTCATAGTAAGGAAAACCATTCTATTGATGTGATATTTTTATAACCAGGATGATTACTGAAAGAAAAAAAAAATTAGTATAAATCTGTAATTTAAAGATAAATTATAAGATAATTTAAAGATAAACTCGTATCTAAGAGCATAAATAGTCTTATTTTTTAAAAGACATTTCATGGCTTAAAAAAAAAAAAGAATAGTAACATCACTTAACAGTTAAATTTCTCATTAATGACCTTGCCATTATTTTATTAATATGAAGAGATAAATGCCCCATATTGAAAAAATTTTAAATAATTTTTCTTTAAAAATACATTTTATAAAGGGGTGCCTGGATAGCTCAGTCGGTTAAGAGACTGACTCTTGAGGGTGCCTGGGTGGCTCAGTTGGTTAAGCGACTGCCTTCGGCTCAGGTCATGATCCTGGAGTCCCGGGATCGAGTCCAGCATCGGGCTCCCTGCTCGGCAGGGAGCCTGCTTCTCCCTCTGACCCTCCCCCCTCTCATGTGCTCTCTCTCTCTCATTCTCTCTGTCTCAAATAAATAAATACAATCTTAAAAAAAAAAAAGAGACTGACTCTTGATTTCAGCTTAGGGGCTCAGGTCATGATCTCAGGGTCATGGGATCGAGCCCTGCATCTGGCTCTGCGCTCAGCTCTCGGAGTCTGCTTGAGATTCTCTCTCTCCCAGTGCCCCTCCCCCGCTCACACTCGCTTTCTCTAAATAAATAAATGAAATCTTTTTAAAAAAGTTTTTTATAAAGATTAAAATTAACCATTCTTGTGCAGTAATTTGGATTCTGGAGGATAAATTTATCTAAGTTGATTACATAGGTCTTCTATCTGCACTGTAAAATATGGTAGCTCCTAGCTATATGTGGCTATTTAAATTTTAAATTAGTTGAAATTTTAAAAAAGTAAAAATATCAATGTCATGGTAGGATTATCCCCTTGTCAAGAGTTCAGTAGTCACATGTGGCTAGTACCTACCACATTGCAGAACTGAGTTTTATTGGATAGTGCTGTCCTAGATTATGATAGACTAATAAATATATGGATAA